ATGCCTCAAGTAGCGCACACTTCCTTACCTTTATATTCGACCACGAATTCATTTTTGTGAAATTCGCGAAGTGTTCGAATCCCACGACCCTTTTCCTTACATTCAAAAACTTCCAGGAATTTCTCGTTAGCACTCGTCAAAATTGCTTCTTCCATCGCATTTCGCTCTTCTTCCTAAAATAATCGAACCAAAGCCCGTCTTTTTTTCTTCATAATTCGAACACACATACATGCATGCTTGCATTCATTACAAATCCAGCATCACCACATGTAAAAAAGCCTACCTCAAGCTGCTTTTCAGTCTTTCGATTGCTTCTGCGCAGCGGGAAGAAATCAGTGATTTTTTGATCTGAACAGTTCGTTTTTCCAGTACCATTCGCAGTAGCTGCCTTTTCCTTCCTTAAAAAAAACCCCCTGTACTTAACAGCTACTCTAAAAGTCGTCATTTCATATTAACTAAATTTCATTTATTCGAATTTTGAAGCTAAATGCCTGGATGCAGCGGAATTCTGCATTGATTCATTTGAATTTGTCAAATTCAGGCGATTTTGTACTCTTACTAACTGTGCAAAATAAGTCATATTTGTTGATTTAAGAGAATTTGAATTGTTTTAAAAGAATAAAGGTAGAATACACAAAAAAAAATTTATTCGAGAGCTCGAAGGAAAAAAAATTTTGCGCGGCGAACAGTTGAAAAGGCACCTTGGCGTATTTTTCTTGCTACTCAGTCGGCGTCGTCCACCGCGCTTTCGATTCATAATTGTTTGCAGCATTCCTTGCGAAAGCGTCGACAGCGGCACACCTCTTAAACTCTGATAAATTAGGGGAAAAATCCGGGGGAAAAATATCTGCCTGCAGCTACAAGAATGTAAATGTTAATAAAAGCATGGGAGGGGGATAGAATTAGTCAAACTCTGCTAGGAAAAGAAAAGACTGTAATACGAAATCTCAGGCCTGCTAATAAGTGAAATTCGAAAAATTCAAAAAATTTTCGGTGCCCAAAAATAACTTTGCAAAAGTCGCTATGGAGTGATTGCGTCGCAAAAACAAACAATTGCAGCTGGGGAAAAAGGACCACTGGACAATATTTACTAAATATTAAGCCAACAATGAGGAAATGAATTAACAGGAGAGAAAGACGTGCACAAAATACAATGAGATTTTACGGTGACAGGGGCCCAATGGACCCGAGAAATCCAAAATATCGAAGAATGGAGAAGTTGCCAGTTGCATCTGAGGCAAGAATGAGCTGCTGATCAAAGTTCAAGGCACGAACTTTAGAAGTGCAATTCGAGGCACAAAATAGTGTCATGTGACAGCAAACTGGCGGGTAATTTTTATGCGTTTTGTGCCGTGTAACAGCGTTACAAAACGCATATTGTCACGGGGTTGCCCGTGTGTGTGTGTGTGTTTGTGTGTGTATGTGTGTGTGTATGTGTGTATGTGTGTATGTGTGTGTGTGTGTGCGTGTGTGTGTGTGTGTGTGTGTGTGTGTGTGTCCCACATTTGTCCCGCACTTTCAACTCGGGAACCACGAAAGCTAAGCGGCTGAAATTTTGGTATAGTGTTCCCCGCCAACGGGTGACGTGGCAATTTAAATTCAGCCTTCCCTTACCCGCGGGTAACGCGTACGGCCCCAGGAAAGTTTTTTACGGGTAAATAAATATCTCAGGAACCACAGAGTCTAGGAGGTTGAAATTTAAGGGTAATGACCTCCTACCCACGCTCAACCTTGCCCGTTCAAATTCAGCCTTCCTTTACCCGCGGGTAACACGTACGGCCCCATGAAATTTTTTTACGGGTAAGTTATTGTCTCGGGAACCACAGGATCAAGGAAGCTGAAATTTTACAGTAATGACCCCCTGCCCACGCTCAACCTTGCCCATTCAAATTAAGCGTTCCCGCGCTTTTGAGTGTCACCTACAGCCCCGTGAAAATTTCGGCGGGTAAACTATTAACTCGGAAGTCACGGAGAGATATTCGACCTTCATGGTTTCGAATTTAGCTTTCATGCGCTGGTGCGTGAAATTTTTAACTATTTCCCAGTTTTTGAACTATTTTTGCATAGGCAAAAGTACAGGGTAGTGAAAATCATTAATAGGCAATAGTTCGATGGGCTGAATTGCACAAAAGGCATGATCGCACCGGTTAGTCTGGTGCGCGTCGCTATTTATTTCTTTGTGGCGGTAAGAGGGACTGAAAATGGGGTTCCACGTTTCCGGCATGCTACCTCTATGTTACCATCAATTTAGTCCAAAGTGCATAATAATATAACAGAATTTGATATATTTGATGATTTTAAAATAAAACAGTTCGGGAAAAGACTGAAATAAGAATGGTAATTCTAAACAGGAATTTTTATTAGAACTAAAATTGTTATTTCAATTTCGAGGAACACAAAGAAAGTAGTCGAGCCGAGTTCCCCCGCTTATCACTTTTATCTATTTTTCGAGTACTTCAGGGACCTCTGTAGTGTCAACCACGAATAACCTGAAAGCCCAAAAAAGAGGGAAGTGGGAAAATAGTGAGGGGAAGCTTGTATACTGTACAAATGCTCCGTGATAATAGAGATCGACTGTGAGGCC